TCATGCCTGCAGGGGCCAGGGCCAGGGCGTGCCATGTGTGTGTAAGTCACTGCTTTTGCAGGGAGCACTTACAGCATGCCGAGTGGAACCCTGGCGGCATAGGGATCCCATTTGGGGCTGAGATCCACAAAGTCCGAGGTTCAAAACCACCAGCTGCTGCTTAAGAGAAAGACGGGTTTTCTACTCCGTAAATTTTCAGAGCCTAGGGAACCCACCGGGCCGTCCCACCCGGCCCTATAGGGTCCTATAGGGTCTATAGGGTCTCGTGAGTCAGCATGGTTTTGGTCTTACCTCGCTCATGCCAAGAACACGCTGGAACCAAGAAGAGACTCCAGACTCCAGCAAGGGACAGATGTCTCTGCCGGCGGCAGCCCGGGGTCTAGTCGACCGGGAGGCGGCAGACCCAGGAGCAGACGTGCTGTCGAGAGTCCTGGAGGCACAGGGTGCTGGCGGGGAGCGGGCCACACACAGGGAGAGCCTGGGCCGCAGGGCAGGGTCCCGGAAGGCGGTCTGAAGGAGGCCACCCTGAGCTCCGCCTGGAAGCAGCAGGGCAAGGCAGGAAGGGTCTCTGGGAGAGGAGGCTGTGCAAGGCGGGGCCTGCAGACAGGGTGGGCCTGGCTCACCGCATGAGGGGCCAGAGGGCTGGGCAGATCAGCTGGAGAGACGCACGCGGAGGGCAGGCCCTGGTAGAGGCCATCGGATGTAGCCGCTCTGGGCAGACAGGAGGTGGTGCCGCCTCCAGACGGTTGGGGGTGGGGGGAGATGGAAGGCTGTCCGCACCCCCGGGAATGTGCCCCAAAGCCCCTTTGTGCCGCACGTGAGTGAGTGTGGGGCCTGCTCCTGCCACTGTGGCCGCAGGGGAGACAGACCGTTCCCAAATCCGGAAGAACGTCCGCAACGCCATCCGGGGCAGGTACCCGCTCTACAACCTGGGCTTTGGGGACAGAGTGGACTTCAACTTCTTGGAGGCCATGTCCATGGAGAACAACGGGCGGGCCCAGAGGATCTATGAGGATCGGGACGCCACCCAGCAACTGAAGGT